TTCACGACAAAGTGGCTTCCTCTGTACAGATAACATACAAGAGAGTGTTGAAGGTTTGTCTAAACTTGAATAGAAATAGCTTCAGTGTAGCTCTTCAGATTGAAGTTATTTAACGTTTTATGTTTCTATATTATTTAGGTAATATTTTCCCCTTGAGATAAACTTTTTTCAAAATCACATTTCATATGATTGAGTACAGTAAAACCCGTCACCAGGTGACACAGACCTAGTAAAACTGCTTATTGAAGTATGCATATGTAAGTGTTCAAAAAGAAGTTAGTTTCAATACATGTTGCCCTGTGAATTCTCATGTGGTTTGTGTCTTTGATCTGATCTCAAATGTTGAATTTATAACTACAAGGTAATTTCAAATCAAGTATTGTCAGCATGTAGGACAAACCAAACAACACTTCATAAGAACTACATGTATTATAAAAATAACTCAAACAATACATATGGGTACTTGTGTGAGTACTTGTATAAAATTGTCAATTCTTGATGAGCTTAGATGATTCTGTATTAGGGCTGTAACTTGATTACAGACCATGAATATAATCAATCATCTAGAAGTTCTCAAAAGTATACTATAGATTTGACCTTCAATGACATTCTCAAAAGTATACTATAGATTTGACCTTTAATGACATTCTCAAAAGTATACTATAGATTTGACCTTCAATGACATTCTCAAAAGTATACTATAGATTTGACCTTCAATGACATTCTCAAAAGTATACTATAGATTTGACCTTTAATGACATTCTCAAAAGTATACTATAGATTTGACCTTTAATGACATTCTCAAAAGTATACTATAGATTTGACCTTTAATGACATTCTCAAAAGTATACTATAGATTTGACCTTCAATGACATTCTCAAAAGTATACTATAGATTTGACCTTTAATGACATTCTCAAAAGTATACTATAGATTTGACCTTCACTGACATTCTCAAAGTCAAAATAGATTCCACCTTCATAGACCTTCTCAGGGCCAAAAAGGTATTTTCTCAACTTGCTTCAAATTGACCATTTTTTCCAAAATCATGAATTAGTTCTCAGAAATTCAAATCTGACTTAAAATTGAACTAATAATATTGTTAGCAACTAGGTGGTGACATTTCAAGCGTTTCAATAGATACAATTGCTTTCTCTTGTTTCACCATTTCAAGCATTTCAATGGCATGACCAATTTTGGGAGATACAGCGAAACATATTAAAAAAAGAGAACACAAATGCTTCTAGTTTCAAGCTTTTCACCAAGGTATTTAAACTTACTATACCAATCGATATGTATTGGAGAAACAAATTACAGTTTCACTGATTGCGCTTGTTTTATCGCTTCAAGCATTTCAATTGATTCGCAAAATGACAAAATTTCAAAACCTAGTTGCTCACAATATTATGAGTTCAATGCTAAGTCAAAGAAATTGGTAAAGGAGTGGTATCGATATGGAGAACTTTTTAAACACACGTTTCTCTTAAACCAGTCATTAAAAAAATCTAAATATTTAACACATTGTCAATGTAATGGTCATCTTTTGAATGGTAACAATATAATTTGAAATATATATATATTTATCCCATACTTGGACGTGTTACATAAAGCCGGTTTGTAAAACCTTATATTTTCATCAGCGGGCAGATATAGCTTTACATCCCACTCCGAGCGGGCAGATATAGTATATCTGCCTGCTACGTCATAATCGCTGTTCCCGTATTGGTTCGTTGTTGTAACGTTCGCATATTGTAAACGACAATGGAGAAAAACGCAGACAATCGCGATCTGTTTGATGCTTTTAAGAAGGGAAGGAGCAGTATGCCCCGTTAATATTCAAATATTTGAACATATCCCTCAGGACCTACGGCCCTCGTGCAGATATATTATATTGGCCTCGGGATAATCCCAATATCCTGAACCTCATATAGGATAATCTCTATATATACTTTCATCTATATTGTTTTAGAAAACATATCAAACACTTGTTTTGTTCTTGGTATCATGTTTCCAGAGTGAAATGAATCTTTCCGAACCTCATTGGAACAAAATGACATATACACAACATGTTTAGGTCTCTCAATATTGTAATTGTACAAAGGAAATTTTGGTTGATTTTAAAAAAGTATCTTGTTAATGAAATACAAGAACACAAATGTGTACAAAATGTCCCCACCAATGGGTGATCCTGTCAAATGGTTATCCTGTAAATGAGTAGACAAGACTTTTCCAACACAATTTGAGAACGGAAATCCAAAATGGAAATGATCCGTCACACAATTAACCAGAAAACATGTATACAAGACTTTACAGACAAAATTTCAAGATGGAAAATCCAAAATGGCTGCCTTGACATTTACCCAGAATGTCAAAAAACTAATCTGTATCTAGATTTTCATACTAAGAATCATCCCTGAAAACATGAAATTGATCTAGCGAACGGTTCACCTGAAAACGGGTAGACAAGACTTTACAGACAAGATTTTAGGACAGAAAATCCAAAATGGCTGCCTTAACATTTATGCAGAATGCAAAAAAACTAATCAGATGTAGATGTTCAAACTAAGAATCATCCCTGAAAATCTGAAATTGATCTACCAAACGGTTCACCTAAAAACACATTAACAAGACTTTACAGGCAAGATTTTAAGACAGAAAATCCAAAATGGCTGCCTTGACATTTATCCAGAATGCCAAAAAACTAATCAGCTGCAGATCTAGATTTTTATTCTAAGAATCATCCCTGAAAATTTGAAATTGATCTACAGAATGGTTCACCTGGAAATGCGTAGAAAGACTTTACAGACAAGATTTTAGGACGGAAAATCCAAAATGGCTGCCTTGACATTTACCCAGAATGCCAAAAAACTAATCAGTTCTAGATTTTCATACTAAGAATCATCCCTGAAAATTTGAAATTGATCTACCAAACAGTTCACCTGAAAACGCGTAGACAAGACTTTACAGACAAGATTTTAGGACGGAAAATCCAAAATGGCTGCCTTGACATTTACCCAGAATGCAAAAAAAACTATTGAGATCTAGATTTTTATACTTAGAATCATCCCTGAAAATTTGAAATTGATCCACCACACGGTTCACCTGAAAACCCGCAGACAAGACTTCACAGACAAGATTTTAGGACCGAAAAATCCAAAATGGCCGACAATAAAAAAAAGACATTATGAGTTTTTGCTGATTTCTTTTTACAAAATTATCACATATAACTACTGTTAACAATAACATAGGCTTTTACAACAAAGTACACCTGAAATTATTTATAAAGCTACTAAATAGTTAAAGTATGAAAACTGAAAAACACCATTCAATATGACACAAAGTATTATCGCGCGCTGACTTTTCTTAAAACATTCAAAATGGCTGACATGACTGAGCTAACAGGTCCAAAACCTAATCAGATCTAGAATGAAGTGAGCTGAACAAGATGTTAAAGTTTTAAAAGCAACTGTGAAGCCGTTTTTCTTAAAGTTTGCAGACAAGGATTTTAGCATTTGACAGACGGACGGACGGACAGACAGTCGGACGCGCCTAGGCCGACAATATGGCCCCACACTATGTGGTGGGGACATAAAAAGGTTTATCTTGATTTTGGAAAATAAATATTTTATCAAAATTTCCAATTTTATGATTTTGACGGGCTTTTTTCAAAAACACTACACTGTCAATAAAATACAGGTTTTTGCTTGAACAATTGAACTTTTAACGTCATTTCAAATATTGTCTGGCTATGGAATTTCCGGCCGCCTAAAGTCTTCCCAGATATATCTGTTGCCATATTCTTAGTAATGGCTGATTATTGTTATTCACTTGAGTCATAACAAAATTATTACAGTGCATTAGGGCAATAAAAATTTGTTGCTCTGGACCTCGTTTTGTGAAGCGTTCCCTAGATTGAGCCTAGGTAGAGGAGGTCAATCTTCTTGTCCACAGACATGAGTTCAACCCGGTCTGTTCAATACTGTCCAAAATAAAGTAAAACATTACGAATCTCCTATTCGAAGTATTCTTGGCATTAGATCCTTCAGAGATGTTAATACAGCTGTGTCAAATTTTATCATGAAATTGTCAGGGAGACCTGACATTTTAAAAGCATGGTACAATTTACGTGCCACGGGCTCGCATGCTGAGTGACGGTGGCGGAAAAACCCAGTGGAGAAAAAGGTGCGTTTTCAAAGAAAACGTGACCCAGAATGACAAGTTTTTCATTGGCCTAATGCACTGTAATAATATTAGGCCTATTGAATATGACTAAAATGAATAACAATAATCAGCCATAATTAATATGGCATCAAATACATCTGGAAAGACTTCAGGCTGTCAAAAATCCAATAGCTAGACAATCTTTGAAATGACGTCAAAAGTTCAATTGTTTAAGCAAAAACATGCATTTTATTGACAGTGTAATGTTTTTGAAAAAAGCCCGTCAAAATCATAAAATTGGAAATTTTGACAAAATATTTATTTTCCATGTTGAAAATTGTCTCCAGAATAAAATATGAAAATTTCAATAAGAATGGTTGTTCTATTGCAAATATAGAGTAAAAAAGCGACTGCATCATACAACCTGTCCGGGGTACTATCTATTTTGGGGGCATTTTGTTTTAATTTTTTGAATACTTTTTTAAAATCAACCAAAAATTCCTTTGTATAACTTTAATATTGAGAGGTCTAAAAACATGTTGTATATGCTATTTTGGTTTGGAAAGACATTTTATTTCATTCTCAAGAATTGGTAGAGAGGAGCAAAAACAATTGCACTAAAAAAACAAAAAATGTTAACAAAAACAGTTATATAAAATATTTCTAAATAATTTTTGCATTAAATTGTTGTCAATCAGACAACGTTACATAAAATTTTTACAGAATGTTTTTAATGATTGGTTAAAGAGAAAAAACATTGTTGAATTCAGTCATATCCAAGAAATAACCCTAACCCAAATAACCCTAACCCAAACCCATAAAAAATGAAGGTAAACTCACAGATTCTTCATCATTCCATTTCTTTTCTATGCTCCTAGGAACAGGGCACTTGACAAGACCTTGAAGCGCTTTCCCAGTGTCGTATCTGGAGGCATGCAGCTGGAAAACACCACAAACACGTTAACATTTATGAATCAAAGAAATAAAATGATATATTGTTTACCAAAAATAGTGATAACCTAAAAAATAAATTTTTAATCATTTGACACAGAATAACATAAAAATGAGAATATTTCTTTAATTTTGAAGTTTTAACTGTTCTTCAATTGCAAATTATTTGAAGAGGATCAACTCACCATATCAAGAGCATTGATAGTAGTTTCATCTCTAGAAGCAGCCTGGCAACCATCCTCTGTGGAACCACCATCACACATTCCTGCAAATGCTGCCATGGACCTGCAGGAAAAGAATATATTATTCCATAATAACATGTTTTCCCCGGGAAAATAACAGGGAATAAAATTGATATTCAAAAAATCAGATCTCGTATCAGCCAAAATCCCAGATCCCGTATCAGAAATATCAGACAAGTTCATGAGACTTAATAATTATTATATATATAATATTTAATATTATTATAAACTATTTCTATTTTAAAACTTGGTATTAAACAAAAGTTGAAAATTTCATGCAATAAATTAAATGTCACCATCATTGGGTGACGACATACAAAACAAATTTCAGAAAAAGATTATGGAATAAATATGTTATTGATGTTGGGGATGGAATATGAATTTTTCCTCAAGAAAATATGATATTGGCCTTGGAAAATATCATATTTACACTCGGACTGTCGCCCTCGGTCAATATGATATTTTCCTTGGTCAATATCATATTTTCCCTTGAAATAAAATTCATATTCCATCTAACCCATTAAATAACCTCTATTTATTCCATAATACTACTGTTTTCCCTGGGAAATAAAATCATATTATCCCTCTTAAAATCATATATACTCGAAAAATCATATTGTCCCTGTAAAAAATCATATTGTCCCTTTTTTTCAAAAAAAGTTTTTTTTTCAAAAATTTTCATTTATTTAAAAAATTTTCAATTTTTCAATTTTCTTGAAATATCTTTTTCCTTGAATTCTCAAAAATTGAATTATGGAATAAAAAGGTTATTTCATGCTTGATTTTCAATATGAATTTTATTCCACGGGAAATATGACATTGACCTCGGTAAATATCATATTGACACTCACTTGCTACGCTCGTTCGGTCAATATCATATTTCCCTCGGTCAATATCATATTACCCTGGAATAAAATTCATATTGAAAATCAAGCATGAAATAACCTATATATATATATCAGCTATGGAAGAAGTTAAACATGCAACAGCCTAAGCGATCCTTGTTATTTAAAGGGTTATTACATGGGCAGTATATATAAACTATCACTGACAATGCTGTGTTTGTAATTTGTTTTGTTTAAATGATAATAAAAAACTTTAAACCTAAACTGACAATCAATTCATATCACTTCAGTCCTACCTTTCTCTGTAACAAAGATAGGGATTGCCCATTACACATTATGGTAACCAAAAAAGGGATTGACTATAAAACATTATATTAAGCAAAAGAAGGATTGACCATAACACATTATGGTAACCAAAAGAAGGATTGCCCATAACACATTATGGTAACCAAAAGAGGGATTGCCCATTACACATTATGGTTACCAAAAAAGGGATTGACTATAAAACATTATGGTAACCAAAAGAAGGATTGCCCATAACACATTATGGTAACCAAAAGAGGGATTGCCCATTACACATTATGGTATCCAAAAAAGGATTGACTAAAAAACATTATGGTAACCAAAAGAAGGATTGCCCATAACACATTATGGCAACCAAAAGAGGGATTGCCCATAACATATTACGGTTACCAAAAGAGGGATTGCCCATAACACATTATTGTAACCAAAGGAGGGATTGCCCATAACACATTATTGTAACCAAAAGAGGGATTACCCATAACATATTATTGTAACCAAAAGAGGGATTGCCCATAACACATTATGGCAACCAAAAGAGGGATTGCCCATAACACATTATTGTAACCAAAAGATGGATTGGCCATAAAACATTATTGTAACCAAAAGATGGACTAACCATAACACATAATGGTAACCAAAAGAGGGATTGCCCATAACACATAATGGTAACCAAAAGAGGAATTACCCATAACACATTATTGTAACCAAAAGAGGAATTGACCATAACACATAATGGTAACTAAAAGAGGAATTACCCATAACACATTATTGTAACCAAAGGAGGGATTACCCATAACACATTATTGTAACCAAAGGAGGGATTACCCATAACATATTATTGTAACCAAAAGATGGATTGCCCATAAAACATTATTGTAACCAAAAGATGGACTAACCATAACACATAATGGTAACCAAAAGAGGGATTGCCCATAACACATAATGGTAACCAAAAGAGAGATTGCCCATAACACATTATGGCAACCAAAAGAGGAATTACCCATAACACATTATTGTAACCAAAGGAGGGATTACCCATAACACATTATTGTAACCAAAGGAGGGATTACCCATAACATATTATTGTAACCAAAAGAGGGATTGCCCATAACACATTATGGCAACCAAAAGAGGGATTGCCCATAACACATTATTGTAACCAAAAGAGAGATTGCCCATAACACATTATGGCAACCAAAAGAGAAATTGCCCATAACACATTATTGTAACCAAAAGATGGATTGACCATAACACATTATTGTAACCAAAAGAGGAATTACCCATAACACATTATTGTAACCAAAGGAGGGATTACCCATAACACATTATTGTAACCAAAGGAGGGATTACCCATAACATATTATTGTAACCAAAAGAGGGATTGCCCATAACACATTATGGCAACCAAAAGAGGGATTGCCCATAACACATTATTGTAACCAAAGAGGGTTGGGCCATAAAACATTATGGCAACCAAAAGATGGATAGACCATAACACATTATTGTAACCAAAAGAGGGATTGCCCATAACATATTACGGTTACCAAAAGAGGGATTGCCCATAACACATTATTGTAACCAAAGGAGGGATTACCCATAACATATTATGGTAACCAAAAGAGGGATTGCCCATAACATATTACGGTTACCAAAAGAGGGATTGCCAATAACACATTATTGTAACGAAAAGATGGATTGCCCATAACACATTATGGCAACCAAAAGAGGGATTGCCCATAACACATTATTGTAACCAAAAGATGGATTGCCCATAACACATTATGGCAACCAAAAGAGGGATTGCCCATAACACATTATTGTAACCAAAGAGGGTTGGGCCATAAAACATTATGGCAACCAAAAGATGGATTGACCATAACACATTATTGTAACCAAAAGAGGGATTGCCCATAACATATTACGGTTACCAAAAGAGGGATTGCCCATAACACATTATTGTAACCAAAAGAGTGATTGCCCATAACACATTATGGTAACCAAAAGATGGATTGCCCATAACACATTACGGTAACCAAAAGATGGATTGCCCATAACACATTATGGCAACCAAAAGAGGGATTGCCCATAACACATTATTGTAACCAAAGAGGGTTGGGCCATAAAACATTATGGCAACCAAAAGATGGATTGACCATAACACATTATTGTAACCAAAAGAGGGATTGCCCATAACATATTACGGTTACCAAAAGAGGGATTGCCCATACAACACATTATTGTAACCAAAGGAGGGATTACCCATAACATATTATTGTAACCAAAAGAGGGATTGCCCATAACACATTATGGCAACCAAAAGAGGGATTGCCCATAAAACATTATTGTAACCTAAAGAAGGATTGACCATAACATATGTTACAGTAGTGAGCTACATGTATATTATATTCTACTATATTCACCTATAGTTTTTTAATTTGTAATCTATGCTTGCTGTATATGTTGAGCTATGCTTCATTAGAGATCTTAGGTCAAGGTCACAATGACATTATACACTGTATCTTGTAAACAAAACTGAACTGAATGACTCATTAACTCTTGACCTTCTAGAATATTCGGAAACTAGTAAACATTTAATCAGATTGAATCATGTCACTAAAGATGTCCAATCAAGATGTAGTTCCAGAAGATTCGTTTCTGGATCATTCTTTCACATTATAAAAAAGAACAGCACAGTGACTCTCGCTAGCAGATAATTAAGTAATCATAACTGGACATCTCAAAGGAACTAAATAAAGCAGAATTTCAAAGTTGATCAAAAGACATCTTCTTAGCAGAAAATAACAGACACATACTGTGGGAACATTTATAACACTACAAACATACAACCTGAGGACTTTATATGGACATATATTATAACACACTCTATATATGGATTATCATAAACATTTGTGGATTATCATCAAACATTTGTGGATTATCATCAAACATTATTGGATACGAACATTATAGGATTACAACAAACATTATTGGATTATTACAAACATTGGAGAGCTATTAACGATTATTGAATCATTTCGTGATCTGGAACATTCTCAAGGATCATCAACGACATTTATCGACATCTAGAATAAGCCGTATCATTGATTGGACATCACTTAAGTATTAAACCTCCTTTATATTATTGTTATATTATTTAGTTTTCAAAATATAAATATATTGTTATCATATTTTAATTGCTGTTTTTACTTTCTGTTATTTTCGAACGTAACAGAAATTGGGGGCTTGTCCGGGATACAACTACAACAAGCTAAAATTCAAATATTTCAAAATTCGAAAATTGTGAATTTATATTGTGAAGACAGCAATTAACTGAAAATGAGTTTTGAGGTTGAGACATTCTTAGAAGCGCCCTCTTTGGAGGAATTTGATGATTTAAAGAAAACTGAACTTCTGGCAATTGCGAAACATGTTGGCCTGTCAGTCAAAAGCTCATACAATAAAGGTACAATTAAAAACTTTGTACTTCAATATTTGGTCGCAGAATCACTTCTGCCTGAGGAGCCAGCCCAGCATGTCGAGCATACTGATCCTACTAGGCTTAAAGAACTTGAATTGAGAGAGAAAGAGTTAGAAATTCAAAAAGAAAGAGAAATTAGGGAATTGAGAGAAAAAGAGTTGCAAAATGAAAAAGAATTGAGAGTGAAAGAGTTAGAAATTCAAAAAGAAAGAGAAATTAGAGAATTGAGAGAAAAAGAGTTAGAAATGCAAAATGAAAGAGAAAAAAGAGAAAATGAAAGACAAATGAGAGAACAAGAAATTCAGAGAGAAATTGAATTAAAACGTCTTGAGATAGAAGCTCAATCCAAATCTGAGGAACATGCTACTATGCATCAACATTTTGAAAATAGATTTGATGCTTCAAAATTTCTCAAAT